ATACTAGTTCACACACACACACCACAGACACCACACACACACCACACACGTTAAATAACTCTGACGCAAGAGCATTGAAACCACTACGTTGATAGACAAAAATGAATTTTACTTACGACACAGGACGTAACTCCGTATTTAATTATGGACATTCATCAAACATTCGGAGTAAATTGACAATTAACCGAAAGTCTTCAGTAGCCGTTTGTATGTTTCAACTCTAATTATTATTGATAAACACACTTGGGTCTTATGGGATTTGTGTCTAACATTAAACGAGATGAGTTTGGATTTTTTAGGACACAGACTTTAACTTAGGATGTTTTTTTCATTTCTAATGAAATTGTGGTGCGATTTAGAGTAATTAAGACGTAGAAGACGTATTCTTTTAGAGAGCAGAAAACACAAAATAACGTAATAACATTAAAATTATCATAAAATACAAATTACATAATAACTAGTACATATTTAGTCTCTAGATTTTCAGATCTTTGTGAGACGGAAAATTCTACTCAATTACTGGCCTCCATCTACTCCTTCAAGGGTGACTTGCTACTTAAATAAATCGACCAATAAAAACAGACAATTACTTCGATACCAGTGTTAGTAGATGACAAATAGGTGTGGTTGGTGTCAAAAATAATTAGAAATTTCCACGTGTTGCTTATGAACTGAAATATCTCCTCACTTCGCATGTTTCTTACGACGAACACAACTTTTTTTTATACAAGAACTTTTGACTTTCTGGGTTACAGAGACAAGAAACAAATCACACGATTCATGTTACTTTTGGTATGTGACGTTACATATCCAGGAACTTGACCGAAAATTTCGACCCAACTTTATTACTTGTTGCAGACCTTAAGTTCATCTTTACCTTATTAACCAAACAATACTACTTCACTTTCATGAATTTTCTTTTTTTATTGCTATTTAAATAACTAGTTTAGAACACATATGGTCACCATCTAACATTGTAATGGCGCGAAACGTGTCTCTCGGTCCTTTCTACTGTTTAGGAGAGCAACGACGTCAATTCGAGTATCGCCGAGGGAGTGGGGCAGAGACTATTTAGTCGACCATCTTCAGTTCGTGTGCATGTCGTTTGTGACATACATTCATTCAGTGCCGCTTTTTGGGAAAGGATATCCTAAGTTTTCCTCGCTACACCAGAAACTTCAACAGAAAAAGCTGGACGCAATTTTTTATTTGACAAATCTTTGTGACCGGGCCCGAAAAGAAGGCGGGGAAAATTCGCAATATCTTACTACGTACTTACGTCCTACGTACAATCAGAGGTGGCATCTTTTTTCTTTACTAGGAACCGGGGATTGTACGATTCCTCACAACGGAACTACCAAAGTTAGTTTTTTTACAACGTTATTTTTTTGTATATTGAGGACTGCAACGAAACGACTTTATTAGACCGAATTTGCATAACTTAAATACAATTCATACAAAGACAAATTTACAGGAATAAAAAATAAGCAACAAAAAACAAATACATCCAGAAATTGAAACAGTACGAAAATGAGTTCATACGATAGATGGTAGGATAGATGATTTTTCTTTTTTTTCCGTTTCATAGAAACCGTTCGATTTCGAGACTTTACTTAGCATCCGGATGTCCAACAGTTTCACCTCGGGTTATACAGGGATACTATTTTCATATCCGCTTCATCTTTCGTATCTGACATATTTAATTTCATCTTACCATCATGTGTTAGTTCTGTTATGAGTGTACTTCATGTTCCTGCGGAGATTTGGACTAACTATTATGCTATTTATGTAATTCATTTCAAGTCAACTCATTGTAGGCGGCAAAATTCGTTTGGGTGATCGACACACAAAGTGAACGACGGTAACGATGAATTGAACTATTAAAAACGATTGGGGGCAAAAAGGTTTTACACCCGGGGTTGTTTTCATCCCTCTGTTGTACTAAGTAATTCCTCTCACAATCTATTCACACACTCGTAAGGGTGTTTATTGGAAGTGCTCTGTGTTTCAGTGGTTCAGGGTCAGTATGTCTGGGGAGTGACTTACACTTCTACTGAGATCTGTGCAGTGAAAGGATCAACAGTGGAAATAGGCTGCAGCTACACATCTCCGTCTAGATCGTATTACAGTTTTAGAAAAGAAATCTGGTTTACTAAAATGAATAATGGTGAATTTGTAGATCTTAGTTCAGACTCAGACTATGCCGGTCGTGTGCGGTACATTTATAACAACAACAAAGACTGCACTCTGAGAATCTCCGACCTGAGAGAGAGCGACTCAGCCGAGTACAAGTTCAGGATTGAATCAATGCAAGAAGCTTTAAAATATACTGGTTCACCTGGAGTCACTTTGTCTGTTACAGGTAAAATTTTCATTTATGTTAGTTATTTCCAAATGTTTAGCACATAGAAACATAACATTCCTGTTTTCTCTTCATGAATCCAGGTGTCATGGTGCATGTGCAAGTCCAGAGTAGACGTTTTGTCAAGGCAGAGCTGAAATGTCAAAGCAGTTGTCGTCTACCTGATAGTTCTTCCTACGTCTGGTACGAGAACGAGAGAGTTCAGACTGGATGGACATCTTCTTCTTATTCATTTTACTATAATGCTGGAGACAACTATTCCTGTGCTGTAAGCGGACATGAGAACCACCGTTCTCCTTCAGTGTGTAAGTTCACTCAGTACGGACACATTTTCACACAGTACAATTACAATAAGACAGAGTAATTTCAATTGACTTTCCAAACCTTAATGTAGACACAGTAAGTATTACAACAAAAAGCGAAATTACCAAAAGAAATGCAATATTGAGATACATGTTGTGATGTGCTGCAGAGAAGCTGAACAATGACACGAAACTGGTCGGTAACATTTGCAAACAGCAAGTGATGCAACAGGAATTTTGAAAGGGTATTTGTTGCATTTTTCAAATTAATTGCAAGAGCCCAACGAAAATATTAACGAGAACCTTTTTCCAAGTCAACCTTAAGGTTTACTGTGCATCCTGTTACGGATTGTGAAGGAAGCAGGACCCAAATGCAGAAACTCCTTTATTTCAAGGCTATGATATAAGCAAAGACAAAACAGAACACTCACCGCAGAACTAGTCAAGGCAAAAGACGAACCGACAAAGACAGAAAACCCAGAACTTAAATAAACAAAAGACTAATCACACAACAAGACACAGGTGAGGAGGAAATACAGGGGCCACAGGTGAACATAATCAGAGAATTAGACACACCAGGGAAACTAACGACAGGAGGAAAAACACAGGGAAAAGGACCAGACAATAACCCAGGAGGAAAACATGACAGGGAGAACAGCATAACACCCAAACCTAGACATAGAACGTGACATAACCTAAACATACAAAACTACCAACGTGACATGAGCCTAGGAGTGTGACACATCCCCCAATAGACTTTAATCACATGTTTTCGGGTCTAAGATGTGATGGGTCCAGGATCTGCACTTTCAAACACACTAACCTGGAAAAATGTATGTTATTATTTCTCCTCCAGATGGTCCAGAGCTTCCCTCTGTGTCAGTGAGTCCCTCTGCTGAGATAGAGGAGGGCAGTTCAGTGACTCTGACCTGTAGCAGTGATGCTAACCCAGCAGCTAAATACATCTGGAACAAGAGGATTGGCACGCCAATCCTTCCTCCTTTCAAGAAAGGACCACAGCTTGTCTTCAGCTCCATCCATTCCTCTGACTCTGGACAGTATTACTGTACAGCTAAAAACAATCTGGGGATGAAGTCATCTAAAGACATCTTTATTCATGTGAAATGTGAGTGAATAATATTCTAATAAGTATAACTTCTTTCTTGAACTCTGCTTGTTTTACACATGTACAGTCTGCTGTAATTCTCTAAGCAGCTTCAACAGATTCCAGGTGTTTTGGGATCAAACATTCAATTGTGACACCAGCTTCTAAATCTAAATTGCAGCTACACACAGCTCATCACAGTTTGTAACACCACATGTACTGTAAAACACCCTAAACTTAAAATAAACTTTGTAGCACTTCTCCTGCAGATCCTCCAAAGCTCCCCTCTGTGTCAGTGAGTGCCTCTGCTGAGATAGAGGAGGGCAGTTCAGTGACTCTGACCTGTAGCAGTGATGCTAACCCAGCAGCTAAATACACCTGGTACAAAGAGAACAGAAAAGTGTTTCTGGGAGCAGTAGGAAGTTATAATTTCACCTCCATCAGCTCTGAGGACAGAGGGAACTACTACTGCAGGGCTGAGAATCAATATGGAGAGGTCAACTCTACGTCTCTATTTGTAAATGTCCAGTGTGAGTAAAATAATAAGTGAGTTTTCCTGTAGGGGGCACTAAAGACAACCTAGCCTGTCTTAAATATAACTATTTGTACACCCTTTCTTCCAGACTCTCCAAAGCTCCCCTCTGTGTCAGTGAGTCCCTCTGCTGAGATAGAGGAGGGCAGTTCAGTGACTCTGACCTGTAGCAGTGATGCTAACCCAGCAGCTAACTACACCTGGTACAAGGAGGATGAAGACTCTCCAAAAGCTTCAGGACAGATCTTCACCATCACTGACTTCAGAGCTGAACACAGTGGGAGTTATTCCTGTGGAGCCCAGAACAAGTTAGGACGTAGTAACTCCACTTTACATCAGATTATTTTGGCAGGTAAATTCTCCACCTGACTTTTTGATTGTATGATTAACAGATGGCTTCACCCAGCAAACTAGGGAAGAGATTCTCAGATCTTCTGGAAACACCTACCACCTTTAACCAGTGGTGGAAAGTAACCTAGATCATTTCTTTAAGAACAGTACATTTTAGGAAAGGTATGAACTTTACTTGAGAATAAACGTAACTTGAGTATAAACTTTATTTTAGTATTTGTATTTTGTGTAGCTGTACAGTTTACATCACATTAATTGTACATCTTGAGAAACTCACTACTTTACAGATTTTGAAAATTAACACAAAAAAAGATGTAAGGGATAATGTGTAGCGAGCCGGTCATTCATGAACAAAGAAAACCAACAGGTAGAGCAGGAACATCATGCGAAGTGGTTTAATACATGGCTACGTACTGAATAAGCAATGATTCACAAAATAGTTATAAAACTGATCGTATGGCCTCCGCTAAGAAAAAAATAGTGTGTTTACTTCCTGTCTGTCTTCTTCTGCTGTTCCCTTTAGTGTTTACTTCCTGTCTGTCTTCTTCGATTGATATCTCTGTTATCCAGCGCCCTGTGTCTTTAAACCGCTTTCCTTCTCTTGCGCTACTTTTTTTTACTCGGGACAGTTTAGCCATATTGAATCTAAAGTGTTCTAAATACTAATGATTATTCAAAAAGTACTCCATGGTGATTTCTGATGGACAAAATGTTTCGTGTCCACAGCTAATGTTAAATTGACCAGTGAACTTTCTGTGGATTCATATGTCCGCACATAGTCCCTTATCATCGGTCTGTTCTCCTTAGAAAGAGTCTCTTAGCAAAAATAGCAGATATTTGGAATGTCCAAATTGGCCAATCAGAATTGAGTATTTAACCTACACGTGAAATTCAGTAGGTAAATTACAGTACAGTATAGGGGTTTCACAACTACCAATATTTACTAGTCGACACATTTTTCAAAATAATAGTCGACTAGTCGTTACGTCATAATAAAGACACACAAAGAGAGGTGTACAACTGTATTTTATATTGGAACTCATACAGTAACATTAAACACTGCATTTTAATTTGTGTTACATGGCTGAGTAAATAACAAACAGTAACTGGACTCACCAAAATCGACAGCAAAAAACTCTTGTTTACATAAATGCCACGTAAATCCAGTGCGCAACACTTTATTCGCTGTCCTCCACGATAACGTCCACCTTTCCATATTTTTGGTTTGAACACCAACGCATCGACATGTGAGGGAAGGAGGCTTGACCGCTTTCGGGTGACAGTGTTGCCTGCCAGGGAAAAAACCCTCTCACTCGGGGTGCTTGTGGCTGGAATAGCCAGGTAGCTCCTCGAAAGCGGGGGAAGCGGTGCACGTTTTCTACCCACCACTCCAGTGGATTATCCATTGTGGGGATATGCGGTGTCCGCTGGCAGTAATCCCGTAGCTCATCATCCGCATCACTGTTGACCCGTGTTTTCTTGCTGTTCGTTTGCCTCTGT